AAAAAAAAACTGTATTTGGTACTGTTGGTACAATGGAACGTATTTGATGCTAACTGACAATTATTTGTATTTAAAGTGATTGAAAGAACACAAAAATATAGTGGGAAAAAAAGCGTTGAATATTAATGAACGAGTAAACAGATAGTGACCATAAAAAAGACTAAAGAAAAAGAAGCGCAACACCAGTCATTTTTTTTTTTTTTGGATGGATAATTTTGAGCATCTTACCATTAGAAAAGAAAGAAAATGGATAAATAAAAAGGAAAAAAATTTCTTTAATAATAACCATTGCATATTTTTGACATTCCAATATCATAGAACTGAGAAACATATATCAATGGTGTCAAATGTTACTACCCATTTGGTTGTTGTTCAACGTTTTTCTTCTGCTACACCTTCTTCGCCTTCATCTTCAACTTCTTTCTCCGTCTTCTTCGACTTCGGTTTCTGCTACTTCTTTTTCGTCTCTATTTTTTGATGCTTTTACATCAACTTTTTTTTTTTCAAGGTTTTAAGCTGTTGTATATTTTACAATAATTTTAAATCAGTATCTTTTTTCTTCCTTTTTTTTTAGCTGTTAAGTGCATTTATCTGATTATATTATCAACCAAAATGTTTATCGCAAATAGATCAAATAGGTGGTCATTGCTTCAGTTAATTTAATTTCTGTTGCAATAATTACTAAGTTAAGTCAAAAAAAAAAAACTGTTCCAGACAATTAAATAGACTAACTGTTATATTGGTGCTTATTCGTATGTATTGCTTAATGTAATTTTATCGTATTTTCGTCTATATTATACATATCCAAACATAACTGTTGATTTCCGCTGTATAGCATTGAGACGGAAGAATAAAATTGGCAAAAAACCAGAAGCAGCAGCATATTTTCTGTTAACAACGTATAGCTGAAGTTGTGGTCAAGTTTTGTCTTATAATTTGTTGGTATAACAAGTGTGAACAGATATTATAGGTCATAAGAAAAAAATTGCTAAAAAAAAGACTGTTGTAGACAAGAAAATAATATAAGTTTATAAAAAATAGTTTCCTCAAACAAGCTTAACTTTTACAAAGTATTTTGATGCTTTTTTTTGTGTGTTCTTGTGCGTTTTACTGTACTTGTTTTCAATAACACTTTTTTCTGCTTT